ACAGAGAGGGAGACACAGAGAGAGAGAGATTTTTCCATCTGCTGGTTCACTTCCCAAATGGCTGCAAAGGCCAGGGCTGAGCCAGGTTGAAGCCAAGAGGCTGGAGCAACATCTGGGTCTCCCACGTGAGTGGCAGGGGCCCAAGGACTTGGGCCATCTTTCCCAGGCGCATTAGCAGGGAGCTGGATTGGCAGTGGAGCAGTTGGGACTCCCAACTGGTGCCCATAGGGGATGCCGGCACTGCAGATGGTGGCTTAACCCGCTGCACCGCAGCATCGGCCCCATTTCTAGGGTTTTAACAAGAGGAAAATGTCAACACCTACATTCCCTATTTGCTCGATGTTTTCATTATTTATTTTTGGATCTAGATACTTCAAAAAAGTTTATGAAAAATGGCATTAAAGGATGTTTATTTTGATGCAAAAAAATTGTGAGATCTGTACATTCTTCCTAACACACATTTTCATGAAGCTTCCTTGCATATGCAGATATGCATATAAATGTCTGTTCCCTCCTTTTTTTCACTCTATAAACATTGTTTACTTCTGATCAGCAAATCCCAACACTCATTCTGTCTTAACACAGAGCCAGTCCTCATTCCTTTGCACAACTGCAAGGCCTTTTGTTCTGTGGGTGAACCTCAGTTATTCATCTGGTCCCTTCCGTGTGGTCACTTGAATCTTTCCAGTCTTACATAACCACAAACAGTGCTGTGGCAGTGAGAAGAACTGCTCATTCATAATTTTGCATTTTTCCAATATGTCTTTGGGACAGATTTCCAGAAGTGTGACTTCCAGGGCAGGGAGAAAACACAAGCTTCATTTTGTTAGATGCTGTGTTTCTTCCTTTCTTTTGTTTTTTTTTTTTTTTTTTTTAATTTTTATTTATTTATTTGGAAGTCAGAGTTACACAGAGAGAGAGAGAGAGAGAGAGAGAGAGATCTTCCATCCAATGGCTCACTCCCCAATTGGCCACAACCACTGGAGCTGTGCTGACCTGAATCCAGGAGCTTCTTCCAGGTCTCCCATGTGTGTGCAGGAGCCCAAGGACTTGGGCCATGTTCTACTACTTTCCCAGGCCATAGCAGAGAGCTGGATTGGAAGTGGAGTAGCTGGGTCTCGAACTGGTGCCCATATGGGATTCTGGCGTTTCAGGCCAGGGCATTAACCTGCTGCGCCACAGCGCTGGCCCCAGATGCTGTGTTTCTACCAGCAACATGACTGCATTTTCCCTATAAGCTTGCCAACATGGAATGTTGTCAAACTTCTGAAGTTTCTGCCCATCTGATGGGTAAGAAGCTGTATTTCAGTGTTTCCCTTCTTGTAAGTAATGTTGAGCATCTCTGTGTTGTTTATGGGTTGTTTGTATTTGTTTTTCTATAATTTTGTATGTTTATATATTTTTCTTATTATAGTATCATGTGAAATTTCTTATTATTTGGAAATGAAAGACAAAGAGAACACTGTAAAGACATTCAAGATTTGGGTCAAAGTGACACACAGTAGAAAATGTGTAGCCCTAATTTTATTTGTAAAAAAAAAAAAAAGAAATAAATTATGCACGTCACAGAAGACACTGCAAAAAGAATGACCCCAAAAAATCATCAAAGGAAGACTAAAGAACTTACTGAAGATAAAAGCAAAAATTGATGAAATATAAGACTAATGAAACAAAACTATAAAACAGGCCTGATTTACTGCAGATCGTACCAAAAGAATGACCAAGACAAAATCTTTCAAACTAAAGGAATCATCAACGATAAAACCAGAAAATTATAAAATATAAACATGAAATAAAGTTCTTTTAAAATTTTCTTATTCTTTTTGGAGTCAGAGGACAGATGGGGAGGAGCTCTCTCTATTGGTTACTCCCCGAATGTCTGCAATGGCCAGGTCCTGACTGGCTAAAGCCAGGAGCGGGGAACCCAATCCCGGTCCCCTCTAGGAGTGGCAGGAACCCAGCGCCCTGAGCCATCAGTGCTGCCTCTCTCAGGGTCTGCACCAGCAGGACGCTGGAATCAGGAGCCAGGCTAGGACTCAGACTCAGGCACCCTGAGCTGTGATGTCAGCAGCAGCTTAACTGCTGGGCCAAATCCTGGCTCCTCTCTGAACTTAAAAAAAAAAAAAAAAAAAAAAGTGTGACTAATAAAGTGAAATACTGGCTCTTGGGAAATAACAATACATGCACAAGTCTTTTTTTTTTTGTTTGTTTTTTTTTTGTTTTTTTTTTAAAGATTGATTTATTTATTTGAAAGGCAGCGTTACTGGGAGGTGGCGGGGGAGAGAGAGAGTATGTCAGTTTTCCATCCGCTGGTTCACTCCCCAGATGGCTGCAATGGCTGAAGCTGGGCCGATCTGAAGCCAGGAGCCAGGAGCCAGGAGCTTCTTCCTGGTCTTCCTGGGAGGTGCAGGGGCCCAAGCTCCACGGGCCATCTTCTACTGCCTTCCCAGGTGCATTAGCAGGGAGCTGGATGGGAAGTAGAGCAGCTGAGGCTCCAACTGGCACCCACATGGGATGCTGGCACTGCAGGCAGAGGCTTAACCTGCTACTCCCCAGTGCTGGCTCCTGTGCAAATAACTTTAGAAAAACAAACAAATGAAAAAGCTTTGGCTAATCTCATCAAGTTAAAAAAGTAAACGCAATGGTAATGTAAAAAACTAACATATCTATAGAATCATAGGAGATTTAAGTTATAAGTGAAAAAAAATACAGTATATATACAATATACACACAAAATCTTTAGGCAATTAAATAGAATGCTTTCTAGGGAATTATAAATTTTAAAAAATTAGTTAATAAACAAAAGGTAACCTTAAAATCCCTAGAATAATATTTTTTAAGTGATCAAAATTTACCCATTTAAAAGATGGTTCCAAGGGGCTGGCACTGCGGTGTAGCCCCTGCCTTTGGCATCGGCATCCCATATGGGGTCAGTTCAAGTCCTGGCTGCTCCACTTCCTCTCCAGCTCCCTGCTGATGGTCTAGGTGCTTGGGCCCCTGCACCTGCGTGGGAGACCAGGATGAAGCTCCTGGCTCCCAGTTTCAGCCTGGCCCAGAGCTGGCCATTTGGAGAGTGAATCAGCGGATGGAAGATCACCCCTGCTGCCTGTGACTCTTTCAAATACATAAAAATAAATATGTTTTAAGAACTGGTGCCAAGCATGTCCCACTTCTGTCTTGGATGCAGGAAACCGGAAAGAGTACCGCTCTCACCCTGAAGACAAGAAAATGCCACATGGACAACACAATCATAACTGTTCTCAGCTCCACCAGAAATCCCAAGCAGAGCGCCTGAAATCTAAGGAAGGACAGGGGCTCCCCTCCCGAGGGCGGCTGGGACACAAGCCCCGGCTCACCTGGGCAGGCCTGGGAAGAAGAGCATGAGTGTCCTGCAGACCTGCGGAAGAGTTCAGCTAAAGCTTCTAATGCATTGTCAGACGCCCATGTGGACGAACGGCGCACAGGCGCAAGGGGAGCTTGCACGCACTGGAGCGTGTCCCCACGCACCTCCACCGAGCTGCTACAGGAAAGCGTCAGAGCCACCCAGACTCGCTTAGGGTGGCCAGAAGAGCAGCAAAGCCCACGCGGCTGGAGCAAGGGGAACTGAAGGCCCCTCATGTTTTAGGGGAGGGCCCAGAGCTCCTCCTGAAGCCAGACACTTAACTGCAGCCATTACTGGAGAAAGGGTGGGCTCACTGAGAAGTCCCCCCACCCCAAGACCCAGGATCACAGGGCTGGCCTGAGACTGACATGGACCAGGACAACAGAGAACCTCCTGCCCTGTCACCAAGCCTCAAGCCCCAAGCAATTGCTGTACTGTTGAGGGCATGGGCAGGAGTGTTAAGGCTCCCTATGTGGTACAGGCATCAGTGAAGTGGAAGGGGAATAGGAAGCAAAGCCCTCCAACAAGCCAGCCCTCCCCCAAGCACCAGTTAACCAAAAGGAATTGAAGCCCATAGAACACTGGAGGTAAGCATAGTGACCGTAACAGCAAATCCAAAAGCAGCTTCAATCTTGACCAGAGTCACTCAGCTCCCTACACTGAGAGGTGAACACCAGCAAGGTGTGATGCTGATACCACTATTTATCTCTGGCTCTACTGTTCTACACATAGCATCTGGCACTACGATACTATGCAAAAATGCAAGAAAAAAATAAAAGATCTTGGACCCAGGGGTTTTATGAGGGAATCCTATCAAATTTTGGAGGAACACATATTTTTGCAATCATTTAAGCTATTGAAGAGTATTAAAATCTGAGAGGTAGGAGGTAAATAGCCGAATTTCATTTGGTGTAAACTGAGGCAGTCAAATTCTGCCTTGGCTTGAGGCTTTTGCTCCAACCCAAAGTGGCCATGCAAGTGTGTTCTCCTTTCAATTTTCCAAGGATCCCCAAAGAAATGAGTGGTCCTGGGTTATCTGTAGATTAAACTGGAAGCTACACACTATAGAGCAGAATTTGTCTTGTTTTTTTGACCAACGTACTCAACTTCCTCACCAAAACTATTAATGCAAAGAGAGCTGGCTCATGAACCAGTGTGGTTTGTGAAAACATTGCTCCAGAACATGTCTTAGCTTCATTACTACGCTTTTTGGCATGCTTCCCCCAGCAGGTGGTACCTAGAGGTGAGGGTCTCCCAAGCCCCCCAGCTTTGGCCTTGCTTGGAGTTCTCCGTGCCAGAGCTGGGGTCAGTGCAGGGAGAGAGGGAACTCACAGGCTGCTCCCGAGCCAGTTTATCTCACCTAACCATGCATTTTCTGAGAGGCTATTTGTCCTTTGCCAACCCTAAAAAAAAAATCCCTTAATTTAAACCTTCTCCTGGGTTGGGGAGCAGCAGGGTGAGTGGGAGTAAAAGTTCAAACGCAAAGAAAACAAGGAGAAGGAGGAAGTGGCCAGGGTTCAGCGAACCCGCAAGTGTGAAAGGCTAAGCCAGCAATCACTCAGTAATCACCACCCGAAAAGCAGACGGCGCTGGCATCTCCTTTTACGCAGATACTCACCTTCCTCACCTCTCTGCAGGCCTCGCTTCCTCCTGGGACCCGGCCAGTCTGCCTCAGCTCCTGGCCCTGTGCCCTGCCTATGCCTGGGCTTCTCCACATCACCAGCTTCCTTCCAAAGTCCCCAGGGAGTTCTCGGTCAGAGACATTTGCTCTTCCTGTTTTCTGGCCCCTATGCTCAGCAAACCGAAACCGGAGCACGTAGGGCTCCGAGGAGCTCCCAGGGGTTCACGTTTTGCACAGGGCAGTCTGGGGAAGGGCGAGGTTCCGGGGGGCCCTGACGTGAATGGACTGCTGCAAACGGTGCCTGGAGTCCGGCTGCACTCAGCGTTCAGAACAGAGCTCACGCGTCTGTCATGCTCCAAGGACCGGTGTTGAGAGAGTGAGCACGCTTTGAAATAGTTGGGCCGATGCCCAAACAGCGTGTCGCTCTTTACTGCCACGGCAGACACTCCTGCTTGCTGTTGGCGGGGAGGCATCCTTTCCTCGGGGGACTGCGTGTGGAGAGGACGGGAGCAGGACTGACGGGACTTTGCCTTGGTTCTCACTGAGTCGCACAGCTTTCCTCTCCCCTCCCCCCACTACCGCCAAAGAAGCCCTTGTATTTCTTTTTTTCTTCAAAAAATGTGTTTACTGCTTGTTAATTGTGGGAAGAGAGGGCACACCACAGCACAGCCATCAGGGAAACCACAAAGTGTAGGAGTCTTTCAAACCACAAGTCGCTCGGTGTCCTCATCCTTGGCCATTTCTGAGGCTTACAGGGCAATGATCCAGAGTGGAGGCTGAGACACGGCAAAAACAATTGCAATTATTATTGAATAACTTACATTTAATGATAATAAGCATAAATATGCTAAACTTCAGTTTCATTTTTTTTTAAGATGTATCTATTTATTTGAGAGGCAGAGTCACAAAAAAAGAGAGGGAGGTTTTCCAGCTGTTGGTTCATTCCCCAAATGGCTGCAATGGCCAGATCGGGGCCATTCCAAAGCCAGGAGCTAGGCACTTCTTCAGGGCCTCCCACGTGGGTGACAGGGACCTAAGTATTTGGGCCATCCTCTACTGCTTTCCCAGGCCATTAGCAGAGAGCTGGATCAGAAGTGGAACAGCCAGGACTTGAACTGACACCCATATGGGTTGCCGGCACTGCAGGAGGAAGCTTAACCTGCTATGCCACATCTCTGGCCCTTTGTCATATTTCTTAATCACCATGAAGGAGATGTGTGATTCTCAGTGATATTTTATTTTCCACATTTTCCCATTTCCCATTTAGTTTACCCATGTTATTCAGATTTGCCTATACCTTTCCCATCAGTGACCCATCTCATCCCAAATAAGCTCCTAGATACGCTGATCCTTAGATATGAAAGTCCTCTTTATTTTATATAAATTTTATGGGAAGGAACTGAATCCCTCCATCCTGCCACTTTCAGGATTTTCCATTTTCCTACCCAATTTCTCATCAAAAAGCACCAGCACCACCAACAAAACACTTCTGCCGAACGACGGGAGCCTCTTCCAGGTGCAAGGACATGGTTGGCGAATCCGCGGCGTCCTTTATTGGTACCTGTGTCTGTCAGCCTTCCGTTACCAGAACAAAAGCCCGAGAGAAGCTGCTCATCAGGAAGGAAGTACATTTCGCTCATGGCACTGGAGATCCGCAGCCCGCACTAGAGCAGTCCTTGCTGGTGTAGCATCTGCTGAGGCTGTGGGCAGCGACAGTGGAGACGTGCAGCAGGACAATCACACGGCGAGCCAGGCAGCAGGAAGAGAATGGCCGGGCCCACTCAAGCTTGCATGAGCAACCCTCTCACACGAGCGCCTTCCAGGGATGCCCCCTTACACTGGGGCCCTCCCGCCAGGCTTACCGCCCGAACACCATGACGGGATCTAGCACTCTACTCTCCCAGCACCTCCAAGCCGTGACTTAGGAGTTTTAATGTCTGCATGAGCTGGGGAGTCAAGGCCTGCTCAAACCACAGCAGTACTGGAAGGAGGAAAATATAGAGACACTTGTTTGCATACACGTTCTTGTGATCACGTGATTGGTCATAATCCTCAGTCTAATTCATCCCTCCATTCTGACTTCAAAGAAACCCAACCCTATGTGTGTGCGGTACTCATGAGGGTCCTGTCCCTCCTTAATCTATAACTTCACTGTAGCTCTGGGCTATCTCATGCACCTGTTCATGAGAGGCAATTACTAGCACAGACCTTTCCACTGGGAAACCTGGGTCTTTTGCAACTTTTTGGAATTGCAGCATTAGTGACAATAACAATAATGGTGGGGATGATTAGAGCTGATTCCGTTAGGGCACCTTCTCCATGCCAGGTACAGTTATAAACACTTAACACTGACAGTCTCCTTTGATGTCCAAGTTCTAATGGAGCTTTTAAAATTCTTTGTTATGGCCTAACAAGTTGCTACAAAACTTAGCAGATTAAAACACAGCCTGTGCTGTGGTGTAGTGAGTTAAGCTGCTGCCTGTAGTGCCAGCACCCCATATGGCGCCAGTTCGAGTCCCAGCTGCTACACTTCCAGTCCAGCTCCCTGCTAGTGCGTCTGGGAAAGCAGTAGAAGATGGCCCAAGTGCTTGTGTCCCTGCATCCATGTGGGAGACCCAGATGAAGCTCCTGGCTCCTGGCTTCAGTCTTGTCCAGCCCTGACCATTTTGGCCATTTGGGGAGTGAACCAGCGGAAGGAAGACTTCTCTCTCTGCCTCTGCCTCTCCCTCTCTGCCTTTCAACTAAATAAATACATCTCTTAAAAAATGCATGTTTATTATCTCCCAATTTCTGTGAGTCAGGAATGTAGACACAACTTAGCTGGGTCTTCTATCTGGGTCTGTCAATCAAAGTGTCACCTGTGGGTAGAGTCATCTCAAGTCACAGCTGGACCAGGGTTGGAGTCCATGTTCACACCGTCGTTGGCAGGATGCAGTTCCAAATGGGTTAACTGACTAGGGGCCTTGGTTCTTCACTGACTCTTTGCCAGAAGTCCCTGCCCACACAGGTCCCTCTAATAAGGTAGCTTCCATCTTAAAAAGAGACGAGCCAAAGGACAAGAGAGACAGTCTGCCAGCAAGATGGAAGTCATAACTTTTCATAAACCAGCCATGCAAGGGATATCTTATCACTTTCGCCGTATCCTATGGTTTGGAATAAAGTCACTAAGTCCAGGCCACACTTGGAGACAGGGCATCACTTAATTAAGGACACTGATACCAGGAGGGAGGGATCATTGAGGGTCCATTTAGAAACTGGCCCACTTTAAGACCAACTGGGGAGGGAGGGAGAAAAGGTTGTTGTAAGACTGCAAAGATAGTATCAAGATGCAAATAGGTCAGAGCCAGGATTGGAGCCAATCAAGTAGGGGCTACAGGGTGCAATGGGGAAGTGCCTTCTTGCATTTTGTTCCACTGTGTCTTCCTCTCTTGTTGCCCTAACGTGAAGCTGAGGTGATGGTGGGTAGGAGGCTAATGGTGGACATGGAACTACTAGGGCATTGCACACAGAACTGCTTTTCCCACTGAGGAATCCAATGGAAAATAAAGGCAATGGAGGGGCTGGTGCTATAGCACAGTGGGTTAACACCCTAGCCTGAAGCACTGGCATCCCGTATGGGCTAAGTTTCGAGACCTGGCTGCTCCACTTCCAATCCAGCTTTCTGCTATGGTCTGGGAAAAAAAGCAGTAGAAGATACACCCACCTGGGAGACCTGGAAGAAGCTCCTGGCTCCTGGCTTCAGATCAGCACAGTTCCGGCCGTTTCGGCCATCTGGGGAGTGAACCAGTGAATGGAAGACCAACCGACCGACCGATCTCTCTCTCTTTCTCTCTCTCTCTCTCTCTGCCTCTCCTCTCTCTATGTAACTCTGACTTTCAAATAAATAAATAAATATTTTTAAAAATAAAGGCAATGGAGTAGCAGGGTAGAAGAGAAGCAAAGAAAAGCTGTAGATCAGCTCTTTAGGTATAAGGGATCCAGAATCTTTCTGGGAAGGAGATTTTGCAGGGACACACCAAGGCATTGAATACGAACGGGAGGGATCAGGTCCTGAACCAGATCTGGAATAAGGTCTCATCAACCAAAGACAGTTAAAACAAAGGAAACACATTCTATCAAAAAACAAAACACTGGTTCTAGAAATATTTTTAAGGCAAATCTGTATACAACACAGATTTGTGAGAAAGGACAGAGAATTTTTTTTTTTAGCAGCTTCTACTAAAAGAAATGTCATTTACTCTGCGTTTTACTAGGAGGGAAGATTTCAGGACTTCTCAGAGCTTTTGCTATGCTAGTGCTGCTCCGTGGACCTCTAGGGTATGTGTGTGCATGTGTGCAGGGATTTAATTTGTAGCTGTATGTTTGGCAACATGCTTTGGTGATGCTCTCCTATCAAATGCCTATGGCTTCATCTGAAAGAAAGACAAAAGAGATCTGTTACCAATACTTCTCTTAAGTCAGGAATGATGGCCAGTGGTTGAATAATGAGCAAAAATATTCAATGCAGCAGACACCTATATAGTAATCAGAAGTGACCCCAGATGACAATATCGAGATCAGACAATGGGAAAGATTCAAAACAAGAATCAGAGCAGGAGTCCCTACTTCACCATCTCTAACAACCAACCCCAGAGATCTCCCAGATTCCCAAGACTCTCCCTACTGCAGTCCTTCTTGCCAACACTCGGCTTCCTCAGCCACTAATGCTGATCTCCTGGTCCACAGTGAAGGGAGAGTCACTGAGGGAGAGCCTTGAAGAAATGCCTTCTTACAAGCAGGACAGGGGCTGGTGCTGTGGCACAGTGGGTTAACGCCCTGGCCTGAAGCGCCGGCATCCCATATCGGCGCCAGTTCAAGACCCTGCTGTTCCACTTCTGATCCAGCTTTCTATTATGGCCTGGGGAAAGCAGTGGAAGAAGGCCCAAGTCCTTGGGCCCCAGCACCCACGTGGGAAACCCAGAGGAAGCTCCTGGCTCCTGCTTCAGATCAGCACAGCTCCGGCTGTTGCAGCCAATTGGAGAATGAACCATTGGATGGAAGACCTCTCTCTTTCTCTTTGCCTCTCTTTTCTCTGTGTAACTCTTTCAAATAAATAAATAAATCTTAAAAAAAAAAGGCAGGACAAAGGAAAGAAGAAGAACTGGTTCACTGCCAAATCCCACGCCCCCATACACATTACTCTTTTCTGTTTTAGGGGGAAATTACCCTAAAAGAATTAAGAGATCAGGACCCTTTTAATCAAAGTATGGAGGAGCTCCCCTCCAACGACTGGGAGCAACTGAGGGTCTTGCTCAGCTCAGAAGAGCAAAAACAATTATGAGAAGCCACAACACTGTTTGTAGGTTAACCGTCCAAAGATATTGCAGTAACTTTCAGGGCTTAATAAATAGCTTCTAAGTGCGTACTTCATTTAATTGTCCAAAGGCCAGTTGGTCCCAAGGGCACATAAAGCTGGGAGCTGGCTCATGGGTGAGTGCATTCGCTTGGAGCCCAGCTGGAAGCCGAGGAGTGGCAGGGTCAGGGGCTGGGTGCGCCAGGAGCAGGATGCAGAACAGGACCAGCCTGCTTCTTGGGGCCTTTGTCCTCCTCACGGGTTTCCTGATGATCTGCCTGGGCGCCTTCTTCATTTCCTCAGGCTCCATTTTGAGCTGCTGGGGAAGCCAGATCTTGGCGTATTTGCTCCTGCCTCTGGGGTTCGCAATCCTTCTGAGTGGAATTTTCTGGAGTACCTACCGCCAGGCAAATGGAAGCAAAGGGGTGTTCAGCCGTGTGCTCGGGGAGCACCTTGCTCAGGGGGCCCTGCCCCTGGCCACAGTGGACAGGTATGTGCTGAGGGCCAGAGGGGCGGGCAGGGTGGAGGTGGGCTGACCTGTATAAGGTGGAATGGTGCCTGATTCTACTGTGCAGTGATTTGCAGCGATGCAGTTCTAGGTCTAGCCCTGGAGCCGTGTTGTTGGGGATCTTCCATAGGGCTGGGCATCAGGAAGAATGGTGCCACCTTTGAAGGAAACCTTGAGCCAGGAGAAATGTGCACAAACAAACACCATCAACAACCCAGGCGAAACCCACCTAGGCCCACTGCAGAGGTCCAGCTCTTGTTCTATCCTGAGACTGGTCCTTAGTTAGAGGCTGGGGATGGTTAGTAGTTCTCCATAAGCTGGCTACCAGGTTATAAGGAAAGTAAGTCCTAGGCCAAATTTTGCCATGTAATAAATGAGCAAGCAGACTTAACACCAGTCCAGTAACTTCTATGAATTCAGGAAAGCACCAGTTTAGTGCCCTTTTAGGCGTTGTGATTTTACCTTGTATGAAAGATCCACTCAGGGCCAGGTAATGGTATTCTAGAGGTAAGGCAGAGTTAAGCCTGCAATTCGTCCTCACACTTTAGGATAGCTACGACCAACTAAACAGCACAAGGGTTGGCAGCAATGCCAAGAAGTTGGAACCCTTGTTATTAGTAGGAAGGTGCAGCCACAGTGGACAACTGAATGGAGGGTCCTCAAAATATTCAAGAACTACCAGTTCTTGATCCAGTCATTCTTTTTTTTTTTAGATTTATTTATTTATTTGAAAGTAAGAGTTACACAGAGAGAGAAGAGGCAGAGAGAGAGAGAGAGAGAGAGAGGTCTTCCATCCACTGGTTCACTCCCCAGATGGCCACAGTGGCTGGAGCTGTGCCCATCCGAAGCCAGGAGCCAGGAGCTTCTTCTGGATCTCCTACTTCGGTGCAGGGCCCCAAGGACTTGGGCCATCTTGTACTGCTTTTCCAGGCCACAGCAGAGAGCTGGATCAGAAGTGGAGCAGCCAGGTCTCAAACCGGCACACAGATGGGATACCTGTGCTTCAGGCCAGGGCGTTAACCTGCTGTGCCACAGCGCTGGCCCCAATCCAGTCATTCTAATGTTGGGTATTTAGGCAAGAGGACAGAAAGCAGGGAATCAAACAGATATTCATCCATCAGTGTTCACAGCAACATTATTTACAATAGCCCAAAGGTGGAAACAACCCAAATGTCCCCCGGTGAAGAATGAACAAACAACCTGGTATATCCATACAATGGAACAGGACTCAACCTTAAAAAGGAACGAGGCGGGCGCTGCGGCTCACTAGGCTAATCCTCCGCCTGCGGCGCCGGCACACCGGGTTCTAGTCCCGGTCGGGGCGCCAGATTCTGTCCCGGTTGCCCCTCTTCCAGGCCAGCTCTCTGCTGTGGCCCGGGAGTGCAGTGGAGGATGGCCCAAGTGCTTGGGCCCTGCACCCCATGAGAGACCAGGATAAGTACCTGGCTCCTGCCATCGGATCAGCGCAGTGCACCGGCCGCAGTGCACCGGCCGCGGTGGCCATTGGAGGGTGAACCAACGGCAAAGGAAGACCTTTCTCTCTGTCTCTCTCTCTCACTGTCCACTCTGCCTGTCAAAAAAAAAATTAAAAAAAATAAATAAATGAACGAAATCCTGGTTTGTGTTACAACACAGAGGAACCCTGAAAACTTGAACACAGTCCAGTCACAGAGGACAACAGTACATGATTCCACTGATATGAGGATACAGGGTAATTAACTTCATAAGAGACAGAAAGCACAGTAGTAGTTACTGGGGCTGAGGGAGTTTTTGTTTAATGCGGAAAAAGTTTTTGTTGATTGGGGACCAAGTGTTTGTTGAATGAGAATAGAGTTTCAGTTTGCAATGATGGAACCGTTTTGGTAATTGCTGTAGGACAATATTAATATACTTAATGTCACACTTAAAATAGTAAGTTTTATGTTATATATTTTACTCTAAGGACGAAGACTCGGTAAATCCTATGGCCAGTATCAGGTAACAAGACACCTGAGTCTTGGTTGGACACAGGCCATTTGAGAATAAACCCTCAGACACCATTCTTAATCTTCCAAGGATGATCCATTTTTTTAATATCCTTTATGCTAACTACAGCAACCAAACCCCACTTCCAATGTTTGTTAGGCTAACTAGCAAGGTCTCTGGGCTTGATTCAATATTATGATAACTGAAATGAAGGTAGAAGCTGCATCTAGAATGAGGATTTTATATGTACATATGTCAGATGACAACTACTAGAGTATGAGATTCTGATAAGGTTATCTGAAGACCTTAGTGTGCAGCTTACTAGCATAGATTACACTACATGTGCTAAAATAGTGGAAAGTATACCTCGGGCATCAGGGCACCCCCATTTTATCACCTCTACCTGCTCCACCTGGTAGATGGCAGGGGAGTCAAACTGGGAAGCTGCCCCTCTCAAAAGCATCTGCACTCAAAATGGGCCCCTGCGGGAGGTTTCAAAAGCACAGTGGGTCTGCACCAGTGACAGGGCGCTGGGAATGTGACTGGCAGTAGGGAGAAGGCGGGACTGGAGAGGCAGACGGGCTTGAAGCAGGAGGCAGTCGCACTGGAGCCTCTCATCAGCCCAAGAAGAGCTCACCTTTCTGCCTTGGGTGCCACTGCACCTGTGCCCGGTGACTCAGCCGTGGCTATTCTGAGCGAAGGCTGAGATTTGTGCCGTACAGTAGGCAGCTCCTTCAGCTCGTTGGCTGTAGGCCTGGCAACATTTGGAATGGAGCTGAGGCCTCAAGTGGCAGTTCCCGTTCTGTTGTGGTTACACACCGTAAACACTCTCGGTAGGCGATGGAAGGGCTCCACAGGCTCACCCTGGCTCTCCCTCACCTCTAGCCACTCCTGATCCCATTCATGACGGAGAAGCCCAAAGGACTTAGCAAGGAGTGCTGCTGGGCAAGATGACCAATGCCTTGTATCAGCCTTAGCATGAATGGCTCCTTCAGCCACAGGCCTACAGACAAGGAAAGGGCTACAACCGAATGCTGCATCAAGTGGCCAGCTGACCGAGCTTGAGAGACCTTTGTCATCTTTGAAACTAGCCACTGAGACGTGAAATGGGTGACCCCAAAGAGTGGAGGCACCTGGGATACTCCAGGCGTCCGCACGCTGTGGGCTCTCATTCGTCTCCTTGGCTGTGAGGATCCGAGACAGCGAGGAGGGCAGTGGAGCAGAAGGTTGCGTGTGCCTAGGGCAGTGAGGATGCGAATGGGCTGGGAACCGGGCAGAGACAAGTTACACAGCCACAGCCCTCGCCACCGGCACTACACGGCCGGGTTTCCAAGAGTGAACAAGCAAGCCAGCAGGAAGAGCGTAGCTTGGAGCAACCCACTGGGAAAGCCCACAGGGGATGCTAAGGGGGTTCTCCCTTAAGAGCAGCATATTATCATTTTTTTTTTAATCTGGGGATGCCAGGGAAGAAGTACATCTGTTTGCATGTTTCTTCACAGCTTAACTTGGCTCAATGGGAGCTGAGAGCGGCAGACATATGTCTCTTCTGGCATTGCCGCCTCTGTAACGTACGTGTGTGTGTGTGTGTGTGTGTGTGTGTTGTCCTCCAGGCCAGATTTTTACCCTCCAGCTTACGAAGAGAGCCCTGATGCGGAGAAACCGAGCTGTCCCGCCCAGGGAGAGGCCTGGCACGACCCTCCGCCTCGGTACACAGAGACGAGCCTTGAGTTCCAGGACGAAAACGATGCCCAGCCAGAAGCCCCGCCGGCCTACGAAGAGGACGAGCAGGCCTGGCAGCTGCTGCAATGCCCGAGGACGCCGCGGGGCCACGCAGGGAGCAGCGCCTGCAGCGAAGCCCTCCGGCACCCAGCGCACACACCCGCGGGAGTCCGCTGCTCAGAGGACAGGCGGCGCGCGCCAGCGGAGGAACCACCACGTCTGGGGACCGGCCTGGGGGCGCCGTGTGTCACAGCCACGCAGCCTGCGGCTGGCACCGAGCGGGCCTTCCGAGGATTCCCGTTCTTTCCAACCCAGGCGAGCCTGGGGGCCCCGCGGGTGTGCTGAGAGCTCTGCCCACGGAGGCCAGCCCCTCGGCCCCACGCGGAGAAGCAGAGCGGCCAGCCGCATAGCCGCGCGCCTCCTGCCGAGGGAAAGGACGCGGGCCGGGTGTGGCTGTGCAGCAGGGTATGGGCGCTCGTGACCCTCGCCCAGCATGCGAGCAAAGGGAAGCGGGAAGGCACGCGTGCACACCCTTGGAGCCCACGCGCACTGTTGCACACCATTGTGTTATCAATTAATTTTTTTTTCTATAACCAGAAGTGAGTATAGTACTCCTTCAATATGGTTAAAGCACAAAATGGTAAACGAGCCGTTTCTTCTCATGCAAACGGGCACAGTAAGATTTCTTATTAGAGATTCACACTGAATGACAGAATCCAAAATGCACAGCATTCCATGGGCAGGGGGCAGCTGTGCACTAGCTCCACGTGGTATTAACATGTAGGTAGGTGTAAGTCTTTGTAACTGAACGACTCCCCTGTCATTCTACAGGCTTTGAGAGAGACTGTAATGACAGGCCTTCCTTGTCAGCAGCAAACTCTGTGTCTCCAGACAGACTTCTTGCCTTTCAGACCTCAAGTATTTGTTTTCGAATGAGGGTTCCTCCTCTGTTTTGCCGCACGTTATGGTGTTTTTCAGGTGGGGTGGCCGGGTGGCAGGAAGAGCCGAAACCTGGTGCTTCTGCACATGGGTGGGGCTGCTTCCTCCTCTGCTGAGGTGTGGACGCAGGGCTGTGTCCACAGTCACTGGCACCTTTTAGGTGGCAGCTCTGGCTGTGAACTGCCCCATGCATGCTGTTTAGTCCCCGTCCCATCTTTAGGAGATGGGTGCTACGAGTACTCCTGTTTTCGATGCACAAAACAGACTTTGTTCAAGGGCACCTGGTGACTTCCAGGAGGTTGAAGAAGGGTCCACAGGAGGACATGTGGGGACCTTCGTACTTGGAGCTGTTGGGCCAGGCTTGCCCTGCCCACCGCCACCCCTCCTAGGAAGCCCCTTCAGCAAAGAGCCACGCACACAGTGGAGCCCTGGGGTGCTGTGATAGCTCAGAGCCCTGAGAGAGGCAGTGAGGCTGCTTTGGGGTTAATTCACTTCTCTTGTAAAATGTGAAGAACCCTGCTATGTTTTCTGTGTAGGGACTGAGCCCTCACTTCCCCGGGTACTCTCCCTCAACCTGGTCATCACACTGAGTGATTCTAGTGAGTGACAGCCATAGAACCTGGACACAGGACTGACAGTGGACAGCTGGCAGGAAGAATGCAGATCTTTCCAATAGGGTAAGGGGTGTCGAGACAGGATGGACGTCCCTGTGGCCTTGTCTTCCCCAGCACTGCTGACAGCACAGGTTAACCCCATCCTCACCCATATACAAAAGGCCACATGGTCCACAAAGCCTGAATTTGGGAATCTGTGCTTTGAACCCCTGGCATCGAGGGTGTAACTAGATAGGAGTCACTCAAGGTTACCCCACAGGAAGGTAACTGCTTATTAGCGATGCAATATATTGTTCCTCTCTTGACATCTCTTTCTGTCCCTTCACTTAGGAATTTTCCCTGGGGATCTAAGTGCACTCACTGACATAGACAAGCAAACTGATTGGGCTTCCATCCAGTTTGCATTTGTAATAGCTCCTCCAACTACTGTAGTCAGGTGAAGAAATGTTAATTTTGGTTTACCTAAGAAAATGTTTTAATCTCTTTATTGCAATAAATTTTGTATTTAAATTTGCCTTTTTTTGCCATTTTTTCATATGAGAAAAAACATTTATAAGTCAACCTGTTATTCTCCATGAGAAACCAATGCAGGGTTGGGGCTGGTGCTGTGGCATAGTGGGTAAAGCTGCCGCCTGCAGTGCCAGCATCCCATATGGACGCTAGTTTGAGTCCTGGCTGCTCCACTTCTGATCCAGCTCTCTGCTCTGGCCTGGGAAAGTAGCAGATAATGACCCTAGTGCTTGGACCCCTGCACCCATATGGGAGACCCAGAAGAAGCTCCTGGCTCCTGGCTTCAGATCTGCACAGCTCTGGCCATTGTGGCCATCTGGGGAGTGAACTAGCGGATGGAAGATCTCTGTCTCTCTCTTTGCCCCTGCCTCTCTGTAACTCTGCCTTTCAAATAAATAAATAAATCTTGAAAAAAGAAAAAAGAAATCAACGCAGGGAATTCATCTTGCTGCAAGCCCAAACACTACTGGATACTAACTGTTGATTCAGAAAACAATATGAGTGCTTCTTTTTGAAAAAGTATCAGGCGGCTGGCGCCGCGGCTCACTAGGCTAATCCTCCGCCTTGAGGTGCCGGCACACCGGTTCTAGTCCTGGTCGGGGCGTCGGATTCTGTCCCGGTTGCCCCTCTTCCAGGCCAGCTCTCTGCTGTGGCCAGGGAGTGCAGTGGAGGATGGCCCAAGTCCTTGGACCCCATGGGAGACCAGGAGAAGCACCTGGCTCCTGCCGTCGGATCAGCGTGGTGCGCCGGCCATAGCGCACCAGCCGCAGCGGCCATTGGAGGGTGAACCAACGGCAAAAGGAAGACCTTTCTCTCTGTCTCTCTCTCTCACTGTCCACTCTGCCTGTCAAAAAAAAAAAAAGTATCAGGCCCTTACTGATACTTTTAAAATCTTAATACTCTGAACCAAGAACATGGGTGTTATGCAGAGCAAATCCTACAATTTACAAGTCCAACAGTTAAAATCCATTGGGCAAGTTAGATGAAAATGCCATGTGGTGGTCGATACTAGCATACTGGTCATTGCTTGGAGGACTCATTCAGGGAAAACAGACGTTATAGCTCCCCTTCCTTCTTCAATGGCAATGGCGCGGGAACCCTAATTCAGTGAATGGCGGACAGATCACAGTAAGAAACCGGAAGAAGGAAAATCTCCACTCCAGGGAGTCTTCACTCATTTCCGCCTCTCGGCTGTGAACACAGACTCGCATGTCAATGGGAAAAGGAACTTCTCAGAGCTGATCAGCCTCCAGGGTTGATCTCACTGATGTCCTTTTGAGCAGCAGGTTTAAAAAACCACCACCACACACAGAACAAATTAAACTGCATCATTCGCATATCTGAGATGTACTGGGTTTATTTACCTCTCTGTGTAAAAACACATAAATGCTTTTACCAATACACTTATCCATCCTTCAAGCTTCTCCGTAAAATTTTTAAATTTTATTTTTATTTCTACTTATTTGAAAGAGGGGGGAGGAGTAGGGGACCAGGCTGTGAATGTGGCTGCTCAGGCAGCAACTAGAAGCCTGGAGCTCCATCCAGGTCTCCCTGAAGCACCGGAGCCACCACTGCTGCCCCCCAGGGTACACATTATCTGGAAGCTCGATTGGGAGTGCAGTAGTTGGGACTCGAACCAGACACTCTGGTATGGGATACAGATGTCCCAAGTGGCGTCTTAACTGCTGTGCCAAATGTCAGCCCCCACGATTCTACTGAAATATATTCTGGTGAAGTATCACTCTAGCTCACCTGCACTGCAGGGCATGAGCTGGGTGCTAACATACATGGAAATGTTAAAGACATGCCTTTATAACTCGCATCTTCACTGGGTTCTATGACATTCCATGACAATCCGGGCTGACTCATATACCAGTGGGCTGTCACCTGCACGAGCTACTTCTCCTGACTCCAGCTGGTTGTAGTAGAACAGGCACTCTGCCAAGCCCTACTATCTTGGATCATCTCTTGCTACCTGGAGCTTTTCAAGGTCCAAAGACTGATTTAGCAGCAGTTACACTGTTTCACAAAGTGCACAGTTTCTCAGACCCTTCTACAGTCTAGTACAGAAAGATCGAGACAGGTGTCCTGCATTTCCCTGCCCATGCATTTTGAGATTATTCAGTGCATGATCACACAATGGAATGGAGGCACCCTGTTATCACAGAACCGTTAGATTTGCCATACCACCTCCCTTACATGGTTCAGCGTAATCAACACTCAGTCCAATGTGCCACGTGGACTGTGCACCAGTCCAGGGCTTCCTGTGCAGAAAGCCCAACCCTTCAGCCCAACACCTTCACTTACTTGTCTCCCAAGTACTATGGACGTACGCTGCACCTGGGATCACTAAGGCGTGATGAATGACCTTGTTTGAGTAACATAGCCAGTTTTTAAGGACAGCTTATCAACTCAAGAATCCTAGGAGAGAACCCTCCTCTTGTTCTGCAGGACTGGCTGACAGCTGGTGGGATACTCAGCACCCTCGGTTCCTGCCCACGACACGCCTTCCTGGCACAAAGACACACACACTTCCAAGCCCTGCCCAGGGCACAGCAAGACTGCCCTTGTTGAGAACCACTGCATTATGTATCTTATCTTGTGGCATTTTTCTGGAGGTACATGTTACAGTGAGTGAACCCCTATCAGCAGGCCATCAGTGAGGCGCTGAGAGGTCACCACATTCAAAGTTCTCTCAAAATGTGTGGATCCCTCCAGCCATTTTCTCTTAAGGATTGATGGCTGGAGCTATGTCTTAGAATACAACAGGGGGCAGGCACTGTGGCATAGCAGGTAATGCCACCACCTGCAATGCTGGCATCCCTTATGGGTGCTGATTCAAGACCTGGCTGCTCCACTTCCAGCTCCCAGCAAATGCGCCTGGGAAACATGGAAGATGGCTCAAGAACTTGGGCCCCTGCCACCAGCATGGGAGACCTGGATGAAGCTCCTGGCTTTGGACCTGCCCAGCTCTGGCTGTTGCAGCCAACTGGGGAACCAGCGGATGGAAGCTCTGTTTGTGTGTATGTGTGTGTGTGTGTGTGTGTAAGAATCTCGATGACTCTTTCAAATAAACAGAGAAATCTTTTTTTTTTTTTAATACAACATTTGCAGGGTGGGGAGGACTTCCTGCCATTCACCTTTCTTGAGAATAAGGCCAGAGGACATGCATGTGCAGTTGACCTTGGGAAGCCTAGAGTTTGTGTAGGGCAAAAATAACAGCTTGGCAATGTGAACGCGAGCAGGCTCCAGAGAGAGGCTGTGTCCTACAGCCACTGAAGGACCTTCACTTTGGCAACACAGCTGAGAAAAAGCTCAATCAGGTGACCCTGCAGCTGCTTCTTTGTGTGGCAGGGCCCAAATATTTGCCCTGCTACATTTTCACACCCCTGTATCTGCTTCAACCCCCTCAATTCAAGCCAAGGTCTCGCTGGATCCAAATCAAGCCTTCTCTCCAGCCATCCTCTCCACTCCTAGCCTTTCTTCTTGCTTAGTTCATCTACAGAGATATTTTATAAATGGTTACAAACCCCAGGACACTCTCTGGGAAACACCACTGGGGCCTAGTTAGTACCATCTCTGAATCACTCACTCTGGCCGGGCACTCCCTAGCAGGTGTCTGTGCCCTGATTAAAACACTTATGTCAGAAGGGGTGAGGGGGGCGGCCAGCAGTTTAAGCCTCTGCTTCCAACGTCTGCATCCAGTATCAGAGTGTCAGTTGAAGACTCGGCTGCTATGCTTCTGATCCAGCTTCCTGCCAACCTACCAGGGAAGGCAGCAGATGATGGTTCAAGAACTTGGCTCCCTGCCACCCATGTGGGATAACTGGATGAGGTTCCTGGCAACTGGCTTTGGCCTGGCACAGCCCTGCTGTTGAGCACATTTGGGGAGTGAACCAGTGGATGGAATATAGCTTCATCTCTCTCTCTCTCTTTCTCTATCTCTCCATCCCCACCCCCACTGCCACTCTGCCTTTCAAGTAAATAAAAATGAATAAATCTTTAAGAAAAATATTTGCATCTACTGGATTATGTGTGTGTGTTTGTCACAGTTTCCTGTTTCCAATTACAAACCTACAAGGGCAAGAATAATGTAGAAGTTGCTCTATCAGTGTTCGCTGAAGAATGGGTGAATGAATAAATTGATGGATGGGTGGTGTCTACATATTTGGACTACTGGACATACATGACTCCACCTTGAAATACACACAGATTTTAAAGCAAGGAGAAACTCACATTTGAACTTTAAAAAAAAAAAAAAGATTTATTTATCTTACTTGAAAGTCAGAGTTACACAGAGAGAGGAGAGGCAGAGAGAGAGAAAGGTCTTCCATTCGATGGTTCACTCCCCAGATGGCTGCAATGGCTGGAGCTGCGCCGATCCGAAGCCAGGAGCCAGGAGCTTTTTCCGGGTCTCTCACACAAGTGCAGGGACCAAGGACTTGGGCCATCTTCTACTGCTTTCCCAGGCCATAGCAGAGCTGGATCAGAAGTGGAGCAGCTGGGACTCAAACCAGAGCCCATATGGGATGCCAGCACTGCAGGCAGCGGCTTTACCTGCCAAGCCACAGTGCTGGCCCCCACATCTGAACTTAAAGGTTAGAGATGACTGGAAGCTCAGCAACTTAAGAAGAAGAAATGTCATATTGTGGCAAAAAATGGCCTACATGAAGGATCTCCGTGAATGAGATCCTGGTGGAAAGAAGGGGCCATCAAAAAAGGAGGTACCTTTCTCTGGAGGGAGGAGAGAACTTCCATTTTGATTATGGCCCTAGGGTCTCAATAATGTCAGAGTTTGTGGACTCAAGCGGCTTCCACAGCCTTGGTAGCATGTAACAAGAGCCTCGGGTGATCACTGATGTCATAAATAAGAGTGTTAATTGTTAAATCAACAATAGGAGTCACTGTGCACTTACTCCCGACATAGGACCTCTGTCCTTAATGAGTTGTACTATGAGAATTAATGGTAAAACTTGTCTTCAAACAGTACTTTATACTTTGTGTGTCTGTGTGGGTGCAAACTATTGAAATATTTACTTAGTATAGAGTTGATCTTCTGTATATAAAGATAATTAAAAATGAATCTTAATGAAGGATGGGATGGGAGAGGGAGTAGATGGGACAGAAGTGGGGGTGGGAAGGCGGGAATGGAGGGGAAACCACTATATTCCTAAAAGCTGTACATGAAATTTGTACCCATTAAATAAAAACCTTTAAAAAAGAAAAGAAGAAATGTCTGCACCTAGAGCTGATGCACCTGTGAATGCAGCTGCTTGTCCTGACCAGTAAGTGGAGGGAGAGCTGTCATGGGCCTCCACTAAAGAGGTGGTGAGAAAGACAGACTGGAGACAGACTTCATAACTGATTTTTTTTTTTTTGACAGGCAGAGTTAGACAGTGAGAGAGAGAGAGAGAGAGAGAGAGAGAGAGAAAGGTCTTCCTTCCGTTGGTTCACTCCCCAAGTGGCTGCTACAGCCGGCATGTTGCAGCCGGTGCGATGCGCTGATCCGAAGCCAAAAGCCAGGTGCTTCTCCTGGTCTCCCATGGGGTGCAGGGCCCAAGCACTTGAGCCATCCTCCACTGCCTTCCCGGGCCACAGCAGAGAGCTGGCCTGGAAGAGGGGCAACCGGGACAGAATCTGGCGCCCCAACCGGGACTAGAACCCGGTGTGCCGGCGCCACAGGCCAAGGATTAGCCTAGTGAGCTGCGGTGCCAGCCATAACTGATTCTTAAGACTCTCAGCTCAAAGGCACGTTCCTGTTACACTCAACTCTCCATATCCACAGGCTCCACATCCACAGATCAAAACTATTTGGAGAATAAACTGCACCTGTACTGAACATACAGTCTTTTATTCTTATCACTGTCTCTAAACAATACAGTCTAACTACTTAGCTAGCATCTCCATTACCTGGGTTTTACAAGTAATACAGGGATGATCTGAAGCATATGGGAAGATATGCATATGCAAACTTCATCATTTTATAGAAGGGACTTGAGCGTCTTCGGATTTTGATTTCCTCGGTGGTTCTGGAACCAGGTCCTAGGGATACGAGGGATGATGTTACAGGATGACTGTATTTTGAAGTGAAGGCAGTGACGATGAAAGTCTAAATGCCGTTGTAGTTTCTGCTGAGTCCCAAAGGCAGTTTTGCACAATTCACTTTTTCTGTTTCATATTTTAGAAATAACTCCCCTGGGTCATAATAATGAAAAAGAGCTCTTGCAAGTATTCTGAAAGGCAGACTTATCAGTCGACAGGTGAGCACCACTGGAGTTTCTCAGATGGCAAATCAGAGGAATAAACACACACACACAATCCGTAGGTAAGGCTGAAATGAGGAATTCGGTTTTTATTGACTACTAAATGTCCTAGCAAGTTTCTGACAGAAGCACAGATAGAAAATGGAAACAAATGCCTTACTGGGAATGTTTCCTTGCTTGTACTACCTTTGCCTACAGCAACAATGCATTGCTCAACAGTCCAAGTGCACCAGGTCATCTCTGCCAATGACATAAGTTGAATGTGTCGTTCCCAAGGAAGCAAAACACACGCAAACAGGGTCCAGGTTGGGGCTGTTCTGCCTGAGGCGAGGCAAGGCTGTTGGTGCCGCGCTATCCTTTTCCTGGGCACAGGGAAGCTGGCTGTGGCCCTCGGCTTCCCTCCTCGCCATCTCTTCAGAACCACAACTGTACCACCAGTAATGTTTCCTCCCAGCAGCCACCTTGTTTCCCCTCATTCTGCAATCACAGGTGCTATAAGTAAGATGAGACTTGTGTTCAAACAAGTGGGCTAAAACAGGCCCTCCTGGGAAAATCAGAGAGTGCACATGGGTATACTTCTGTCTTCTCAGGAGAAATTTGTATAGATCCGTCTATCCGCCCATGGGAGGCAATCCTGGGAGGGCCTCCAAGTTGTAAGCATTTATTTGTTGAGTCTTATCAAGAAACTCTTTCCCACCTGTGCAACAAACTGCTGAAATTTAAAGGAATGGAGCCATCAAAAGAGCTAAAACAACATTTACAAAACAGGAGAGGAAAAAATTCCCCTTTGATATGCTTTGTTGGAAATGTGTCATCGTGATTCGCAGAAAACTCTGGAAGACGTGAAGGAAGGTGGCATGGGCTGGGTGGGCTGGCAGGAGTGAGGTGGGCTGACTGTGAGGAGTTGGGAAACCTCTCCGCTTGCAGGGCTGACTGAGGAGAAGCTACGTCCTGCTCCACGCGGGGCAGTGCGCTCCGCCCGCCCAGGGTCCAGGGACACCTGCCGCCCAGGATCAGCCGCATTCTAGCACTGCTCTCTCCTGTTCTAGAGCTTTATCCTCGTGCGGCACCAAAGGTGCCCAGAGGCTGTGGTGAACAGTTCCCTAGGCCACTTACTCTTTCTCAAAAGGGAGGTTTCTTGGTGTGAGAAAGCACAGATAGCAAAGGACAGCGCAGCTTTAACAAACAACTGAAGACAAGACCCTGTCACACTTGGAGGAACTGGATAAAACCAAAGCAAACTGAGATTTACCCTTCCCCCACCCCACCCCACCCCCTCCCCCCCGCAACAGCAAAATCTCTTGTTTTTTTCCAAAGTCATAAGAGGCACAAACAGGTAGCAAGAAGGCATGGGTGACGCCGCTCCCGCCGAGCGCTCTCTTTGGCCCTGGTGAGTGGTCCTTGCCCTTTCAGGTGATGACAGTGGGTCCCCTCCGGCCGGTTCTCTCGTGAATCTGGGATATTTTCAGCGCAATGGCTATGAGCGGACTCAGCACTGCCTGGAAAAGGAGGAAGAAAGCCTGTGAACAGCTTGGCCTATCCCGGGACGGGGCCCTGGGAAGGTCTCCACCGCAAGCATCGGGACTGACACTGCTTTGCTGCGCACGGGGGTGGGGGTGCACCGTGGCAGGGCACACCTGCCCTCTCGGCACCTGTGTGCCCCTCGACCACAGAAGACTGCAGAGGGCTGGGCGGGGGAGCAGGGGCAGCACGTGATCTCCAACGTCTCCTGAGCTCCAGAGCACGTTTATTACAGGAGAGCATTTCACACAGAGCACTGAGAATTCGGGAAAAGCAGAAAACCCCCATTTTCCTCTGCACCACCCTATCCTCCCCTTCTCCAGCCCGGACCATGGTCTGAAGAGTCTCTAGTCCTGGTGTTACAGAGAAGACACAGGGAGGCGCTGGCTAACCTGCAGAGACAGTGGACCTTTCTCCCCGTGATGTAATTTGGGGGCTCATGAGGAACCTCAGTGTTCCCAGGCAGGACGCAGAGGCCAAGGGAAGAGATTCTCGGAGAGGTGATAGGCGTGAAGAGGAGAAGGAAGCATTTCTTGCCCTTCAGCTGCTGTAGCTCCGGTGCAGCCTTGAGAGCTTAGAAGGGAGATGACAATCTGGAGGCACTTCACAGCCATACAAGTCAGTGGCCCTGCCCTGTGGCTCCACACCCACAAACTTGAAATATTAAAAACACAAGGGTTTTTCTTTTAATAGCCCCACTGGCGCCAGGAAAACTTCATACTGGCACACTGTGCTAGGACACGTTCCACATGATGACCAGATAGGGGCATTTGGAACCTTTGACTGCAATACTGGGCAAGCTTTCTTTCCTGATCTCCACTGAACCCTGCAGGCTAATGCACGCCTTCCATGATCTGTGAAACTTCCTGACTCACGTCCACGGCATGCGGGGCAGCCGTGACCAGAAGCACACTCCCTGATAGGCTCATCTACTTCCACCTTCAATGGTTCACCCATGTAAAGTCCCCATTTTTAAGGATAATAATGTACTTTTTCTTCCGTGAGTGTACAAATGAGGAGACTTCAAAAGTTTGTGGAAAATGGAATGAAAGGAAGCAAATAAAACATATAAGCTTTGTTTCTCAACATAATAATTTATATTGGCTTCAAACTATCACATTTCAATCATGGGGAAGTGCTGACAGCAGCCATTTATCCTACCCCTAATAACCTGAGGGTCCTGGGAAATGAACCAAGTCAGCGCAGTTTTTTTTTTTTTTTTTTTTTTTTTTTTTTTTAACATTGCTAACTGAAGAAAAGTGAGTGCTCTTTAAAGAGTCTGTCAGATTAGGAAACAAACAGAAGTCAGAAACCGGGGCTGGGGGTTGTGGCGCAGCAGGCGAAGGCGGCACTTGATGCTTGCATTCCACACCAGAATATGGGATATCAAGCCCTGCCTCTGCTTCTGATCCAGCTTCCTGCTAATGCACCTGGGAGGCAGCAGGCGATGGCCCACTTACTTGGGTTCCTGTTACCCACGTGAGAGATCCAGATGGAGATCCCGGCTCCTGGCTTCAGCCTGGTCCAGGCATTGGGCTGTTGTAGGCATTTGGAGAATGAATCAGCAGATGGAACACATTCTTTTCTCCTTCTTTCAAATAATTAAATAAATAGAATTTGAAAAAAATAACAAGTCAGGGGCCGGCGCTGTGGCTCACTTGGTTAATCCTCCGCCTGTGGCGTCAGCATCCCATATGGACACCAGTTCTAGTCCCGGTTGCTCCTCTTCCAGTCCAGCTCTCTGCTGTGGCCCGAGTGCTTGGGTCCCAGCACACGCATGGGAGACCAGGAGGAAGCACCTGACTCCTGGCTTCGGATTGGCACAGCACAGGCAGTAGAGGCCATTTGGGGGGTGAACCAACGGAAGGAAGACCTTTCTCTCTGTCTCTCTCTCTCACTGTCTATAATTCTACCTGCCAAACAAATAAAAATAAAAATAAACAAGTCAAATCAGGACTGTAAAGTGAACACCTAATGATTTCCCATCAGCATTGCCCACCTGCCCTTGTTTAACAAGAGGAATGAGCAGGAGCACTGTCGTGGTGGAGAAGGCTTCTTCAGGGGAGGGTTTCCCAGACATTCTTTCTGCTAAAGCTTTGGCTTTCTCAAAACACTCCCCTAACAAGGTGTAATCATTATTGGTCTTCCAGAAAGTCACAAGGCACAATGCCTGGAGCATCCCCTTTGCTCCTGAATGGTCCACTTCTGCTTCGACTCCCCCACTTCCATGGGTGGCCACTGCACCACTGCTGGCCACGGCTCGGTGTAATCATTATTGGTCTTCCAGAAAGTCACAAGGCACAATGCCTGGAGCATCCCCTTTGCTCCTGAATGGTCCACTTCTGCTTCGACTCCCCCACTTCCATGGGTGGCCACTGCACCACTGCTGGCCACGGCTCTGACTGTGCATTGTCCTCAAGAATCACACATGCTAAAGCCATGCTTCATCTCTTATTAGAATTCTTCAAAGAAATGACTCAGGATACTGATCCCACTAGTTTAAAATTCCCATTGAAAGCTCTGCTCTTTTTTTTTTTTTTTTTTTTTTTTGACAGGCAGAGTGGACAGTGAGAGAGAGAGACAGAGAGAAAGGTCTTCCTTTGCCGTTGGTTCACCCTCCAATGGCCACCACGGCCGGCACGCTGCGGCCGGCGCACCGTGCTGATCCAAAGGCAGGAGCCAGGTGCTTCTCCTGGTCTCCCATGGGGTGCAGGGCCCAAGTACTTGGGCCATCCTCCACTGCACTCCCGGGCCACAGCAGAGAGCTGGCCTGGAAGAGGGGCAACCGGGACAGAATCCGACGCCCCGACCGGGACTAGAACCCGGTGTGCCGGCGCCGCAAGGTGGAGGATTAGCCTAGTGAGCCGCGGCGCCAGCCGAAAGCTCTGCTCTTGTCTGCAGCTGGTCTGGGTACGACAGTTTTAGCACTGACTGAGCAGAAAGTTTGCTCCACTTCCGTTTTTCAGTCAGAATTACGTACGCTGAAGCATTTGAGAAGTCTATGGCGTCAGCTATTGTTTCTGTGGTGAGTTGTGGGTCCTCTTCAATAATTTCAACAGTTTCCTTACAAACTGACATGGAGCACAGCTGCTATAAGCTGTATCTTCAGTACCTCTTACCACCACTTAAAACAACGTGTCTACTTGCAAGCTGCTGACTTCTTCGGGGCACTGTCCCCATTAACTTTCTGTAAAGATTTCCCTTTCATTCTTCCAGGCCTCCCCATGAATTTGATGTTTGTCTTGTTCAACTTTAACAGAAATCCTGATGTTCACTCCCCAGTTGGCTGTAATAGCTGGAACTGGGCTGATCCAAAGCCAGGAGCCAGGAGCTTCTTCTGGGTCTCCCACGTGGGTGCAGGGGCCCAAGGACTTGGGCCATCTTCTAGGGCTTTCCCAGGCCAAAGCAGAGAGCTGGATAGGAAGCGGAGCAGCCAGGACTTGAACTGGTGCCCACATGGGATACTGGCACTGGGGGCGGAGGCTTTATCCACTACGCTGCAGCACTGGCCCCTCTATATTAATCTTTTAATTTATTCTTAACTCCTTGGAAAGACAGAGAGCATTTCTCCTTTTACTTTGTTTCCTATCTTCTCTCTGGATTTATGCTGTTGGTTTAATCCACGTTCGTATAAATTAGAGTCACACACAAAAGACCTAACAAACATTTCCCACCCTGATGGCAACAGACAGGAGAAATGTGAATGATCTCATGTCACAAGACTCAGCTCACCGGTATTGGGAGGAAACAAACCCTAACCAGAAACATAACCCCTCACTCGGCCAGACACGTCAGATGTGTGGTGGGGACCCAGCTCTCCCTTGGTCTCCACAGGAAAGGATGTTCTAGAGTCAGGGAAGTTGGGGGTGGGGGAGGCATGGAACCCTGGGGCGGGGGTTAAGAATCACAGCACCTACTACAGAGAAGTCAGACCACCCAACAACAGAAAACACTGCCATTCTAGCTTCCATAAAACAATGACTTATAACAAATGTCACTTTCTCCTCACCCCAGGTATTAACTCACGTCAACAATCCCATTTTAATTAAAACCTACTAAACCTACAATGCCAGACTTCTCCCCATGACTTCATTCAAACATTCATATGCAGTCAGTGTGCCATCTGCGGGGCTGAGGCGGTAGTTCTCAACCTTGAGTACGCAGCGAGTCGCCTGGAGGGTCTGTTAGCGTGCAGACTGCATGACACAAATCACCGCTCTTTCTACTCTTCCTCCCCAGTCCCAGGCCTGTTCCTCCTCTACCCCCTGCCCCTCAAGTGGTGCCCTCCCAGCCTGAGGCAGCCTAACTCTCCACTGCTCTTTTCAACACATCGGCCTTTCAGTTTGGGACAATTTTAAAGTTTCATCCTTCTTCACAGCCTCCTTCGTGAAGCTTGTTGGATCTCCCCACCCCCTCTAAGAAGGGTGCGTTCATCCCGGGCCCCTTCATTGGCTTCTCTGGTTATTCTTTCTTTTTGGTGTCAGTAATTTGTGGGGGAGGGTTTCTCGTCCCCTAGCACATTTCAGCTGAACTCTAAGCTACTAGGAGGTAGAATTTTTCTTCAAAGTCTTTATTTCCTTTACAAGATGTGTCTTGCCCATAGGAAATGCTCAAAATAAGAACGGGTGGGTTTGGGATGCCACAGGAGGAATTACAGAGTGATTAGTGCAGTGGACTGGCACACTGAGAAACCACCTGGCACTCTGCATTCCTCACATCAGGGAACGTCGTCCAGAACCACTAGGAAGAGACGATGCTATCCATCCATTACCTTTCTGCTTCCCCTCAGTCTAAGTCAGGGTCTGGGCCCAGGAAGGCTCAGCAGGTGCCTGGGTGGTTCTGGTTAAGCCACTCACTGAGTGCTAATGTGGAGAAAGGGCTGGATCCATGGCTTCATCATTCCAGAGCTGCAAGAAAAGGAAAGCTGACAGATCCATGAATCCATGAATGCAGAAAAGAGAGAAAGATTGTTGAGTTC